ACCTGCCACTTTTGACCTAAAAAAAGTCCTTTTCCAATTAAACTTATCTCAGGTAAAGACCCTATAGTGAAGTTGTGTCTCGAAGAGTGACGTCATGATTACGTCATCATGGGTCACGTGACGTCATCACAAAGGTGCATATTTGGAAGGCCTATATCTACAGAACAGTACCGTAATTTTCGGAATATAAGCCGCGCGGCGTATAGGCCGCAGCACGCAAAAATCTGCAAATTAAGATTTGAAGTCAGCGTATAAGCCGCACCGGCGTATAAGCCGCACCGACCGCAGCGGTTTAAATTTTGTAAGGCCTCCAAATTCTAGTCAAAATGCTCTGAACCATTTCCATTTACACTACGAAAGCTATAAAAAGGGCCACAAAAGTTATATCAAATCATTTACAGTCGATACTATTACAAACAAATATGGAAATTGATGATGAGAAATAAAAAATGGGAATTGCTGCCGGCTGGCTCGTCAGTGAGCCTGCGCCGGCGAAGGATAACATTTTCCCCCAGCACTTGAAAGAGCATGCAACCCACCATGTGTCGTCAGACTGGAGTGCTACAAATCCTGCTTTGTGGCAACAGACGCTGAGTTGTTTTGCCCTAAGAATAAACAAGTCCGTTTTTACAGCAAAACTTATCAAATTGTTGTGATTACTAATGAGTAGTAACGTCAAAAATTCAAGTTTGGATCGTAATTTTCTTCGAAAACAGTCAACACGATGCTGAAAGTTTTGTGGACGAAGCCATTAATTTCATAAGGGGTGATTTCACCCCTGTTTTGAGTTTTACATCATTTCTTGAATACATTTCAAGAAAAAAAATATATTGTGATGTTGAACAACTGATTATCAAATTAAGATATGTTTCGAACTCCATAAAAAGTATTAGTTGTCTTTTTTTTCATTTTTTAAACAGGGAAAATATTGGTAATTATTGTTCCCAAGAAAGTACACCCCTTTATTACCACAAATGGTGTGGTCCATGGGGAATCCATGCAGCATGCATGCAGCATCACGTACGGCCGGTTGTTGATGTCGAAGAGACAGCTTTTACTAGCCGTACGTTTTTACCGCTCGGTACCTTTTTGTGGGACGTGCTTTCGGTTTGTTAATGACTTTCTTAATTGATAATTACACTGTATTTCAGCAACACATCTCTTCTTATACCACAACATTAAATACACATGTAAATGTCATTTTTATTCTTCAAGGCTCGGCGTATAAGCCGCCCTGTGTATAAGCCGCAGTAAACATTTTCATGGGCAAAATCAACGTATAAGCCGCGGCTTATATTCCGAAAATTACGGTAAGTCCGATTGGGTTGAAATTCGGTATGTCGGTAGACTGCGATGTGTTATAGATAAAAATGAGGTGACGTCATGATGACGTTATCGTGCGATTTGATATGAATTTTTGAATTTTTGGACCTTTAAGCCGTATCTCACGAACGCAACATGAAAAACTCAAAATTCCTTTTGTATTTTGTTTGTTAGGTAATAGGTATATATACACATTTTTTTAAAATTTGTGACGTCACGATGACGTTATCAAAAACGCGAATTTCCAAAACACATATAACAGAAGTTCCCATCCTCATGAAACTTTGTGGATAGGTAGATAATGTCACAAGTATGCAAAATTTGAAATGACGTCGTCATGACAATATCGGTTGATATTTTTATGATTTTCTAATTTTTAAGATTTTATTCCGCTAACAAAATGTTACACTTTCTCTCATGGGATTTATGGTGTTGTTACGATGACGTCATTGCGGGACATGTGACATCATGTTAAAAGGTGTAAATTTTGAAGTCCTATACATGTATGTGAAGAATTTAGTCCTATAACTACGGTATCTAATTGCATATGGACAAAACACCCCCCCCCCCAAAAAAAAAAAATACGGAAAAGCCCTATGTTCTGCTCATCGAACAGACATAGCTCTAGTTTTTTTTCTTTTTCTTCTTCAGTCATTTTGGCCCATAGCATTTGTACACATTTTTTTGTTCCCGGCACTTTGACCACCAAAATCAATTCAATTGTCTTTATAGTCGGCAAACACTTAGACCAGCACCTGCAGTTGTGCCCCGAACATTTACGTCATCATGACTTTGTCACGTGACGTTACATTTAATGTACATATTTTTAAGGTCTATATCTCCAGAACTACAAGTCCGATTTGGTTGAAAGTTGGTGTGTGCGTAGACCGGGACATGTTTTAGATAAAAATTGAAGTGACGTAACGATGACGTCATCATAGATTACGTGATGTCACGTTAAAGATTAATAGATTTAATATTTAAAAATCAATATAAAATCAACTGTGAGAGACTTGAACTTGATTTTTGCAGGAATTGATAGAATAAACCATGGTTTTTATTTTTGATATTACGTGCAAAATCACGTGACCCTTCCTTCCAGTTGTAAGGGGAAGTGCTTTGTAATTTAAAATTGGTAAAAGATGTGACCTTGCTTTCAACAATGTATGCTCTGGCTAAGTTTCAACAAAATTTAAGGTGTCGTCATAAAATGTTAGAGCGCCCTGTAGTAGCAGGTTGTTATAGATGATTATAGATAAAAACTGATGTCACGTCATCATGACGTCATCATGACGTCATCACCTGACACGTGACATCATAATTCAAGCCCTATGAGAATATAATCACATATTTATATGCCACCATTTATTATCAACAGAACTACACATCCTTCCTGGATGGAACTTATACTTGAAACTTTACATGTCACATGTCACAAAAAAAGATGCCGAAACAGCCCTGTGTTTGTCCACAAACATAAGTCTAGATACCAGTAAAAAATTTGGGGGGGGGGTTTGCATTTGTTTTCATGAATTTCTATGGAAATTTTTGTGTGGACAGAGCTGGGGGTTAACCCCCCCCCCCCCCCCCCCCCCCCCCCCGGATCCGCGCCTGTATTCATATGCACGAATGGTAATTCTGCACTATATATGTATGTATATGGCAAACTTAAGTTTTCATGGCATGTAGCACCGGAAAATTGTTTTATTCATACAGAATCAAGCTTTTTACATACGACCCATTGGGTCATATGTATAAAAGCTAGCAAATACTAAGAAGTTTAAGCAAAAAGTAAAAGCATTTACTTTGGAGTACAAGCATTAAGGAAAAGCAAATGCTTGATTCCGTATGAATAAAAGTTTCCCTTTACTGTTCAACATTTACTAGACAACAGGGGCGGATTGCAATAACGCAGTCTTAGTCGGCTGGCTAAACCAGTCCAATTTTAGCCGGCTATTGTTCTTAGACGGTCTTGGTTAAGACACCAAACTTAGCACATTGCAATAAGCTGGTCTTTACTAAGCCCGCTTAGAGTAATGATTCACAAACAAACATTCCATGGTTACGGGCAAATACTGGAGAGACTGCACAATTTTTTTTTTAGGTTTGTGTGATTCATATCATGCGAAATCAAATGTCAATTCCGAAATTTTATGTTGAGAAAATTGTATTTGCAGTACAACTCAGTGTCATTACATTTTTCCAGAAGATCCCTTCTATCCCAGAGAATTTTCCCTCCGAGCAGTACTCTGCTTTTTTAGGATTAATCATCAAACACTCATCAACTGGGAAAAAATATTTTGGGAAAGAATAATTCAACACACCAGTGAATTCCAAAAATCCCAACTATAGACCATTTTAAGCCAGCCCAACCCAGGCTAATTATTTTAAGACTGTCTTACTAATTAAACTGTGTCATTGCAATGGTCTTACTTATAGACTGACTGACAGCCAGAGCTTTTAGACTGTCTAATGCGCATAGACAGCTTTAAGACCGGTTATTGCAATCCGCCCCAGGTAGCAAATGCTTCTTACCGTTGGATTGTTGCATGGATGAATGATTGTCAACAATAGGGTTTATTTTGTGTGTACCAACTGCCACACACACGGAGGGTTTGCACATAGGGTATAGTCCAATTCAAGGTGATGCTGCTAGGACATGTTGTAGTACATCTGATCCTCAAATCCAGCAAAAATCGTGACACTTTTCGCCAGTTGCAGAATACAGAAAGTATACTTTCTTCACTCATGAAAATTGTAAAGGTCCACAGTGTCCCGTAGACGTCACAATTGCATAAAAATCACAGCCATGTGTTAAAGTGGGTAAAATCATACCAACATTCATTACATAAAGAGTTTTGTTTATAGAAATATTTAAAAAATAATAGTTGGCAAAGGTAGTTGACCTAATAAACTAAACAAATGATTTCATTTTGTTCAGTCCCCAGGGTGCCGTTGGATAAAATTTATCCTTAAATCATTCTATGCTGCACTGAATTTTATGCTAACGCTTCTCATATTGCGAAAAAATGTGAAATTATCGTCTCTTCTAGTAATGAACTTAATAATAAAACAATATTTAAATTTCGCATAAATGTTGTGCAAAATACAGTGTATGGTATTATATGTAGTTAATTAACGTTTTGTGTTAATTTTGGGGAGATTAACAATAAAAAAATGCAGCAGTTTTTATTTGCTTTATATTTTCAAGGTTGCCCCAACCCAGCCTTGAAAAATGACCAGTAAATACTTGAATCTGAAGCATTTACTCCTTTTTATTCATACAAAAAGCTAACAAGTAAAATGCAAATACTTTTAGCTTTCAGCAAATGCTTTCCAATAAAAGCATTTGCTTCATTTTTATTCATACAAATGCAAGTAAATGCTTCAAAATAGGTAGTAAAAGCAAATGCTAGATTTATACATACGACCCAATGTTCTTTGTTGACATTCCTACATTATAGACACCCAGGGAGGTTTGTATGACATTAATAAGGAATATCTTGTGATGCTCCTCTGTAAATGTATGAGTATGCTCTGTGCCCACTGGTTTTCCGTGAAAACCCTGTATCCTCTTGGTCAGTAGATAAAACCCTCTTCAAAGAAAAAGAAATAACCCGAACTTTATGTGATACAAAATGTGCTTAACTTGTGTATGGTTCATTTTGCTGTAACAGGTTCCATCGGTGCGGCCATGGTGGTGGGAAGTTTAGCCCATGTGGAAGCCAATGCCCCCATGGGCCTTGATGAATGTGATGAGGATATGCCACCACCACCAACATACATGTCAGCTGTCTCAGCTGGTAAGTTATTTTACATGCCCTGTTAAATATAGTTTAGATTAAGTTTTATAGTGGACTGGACCAGTGAATATGTTAATGCAAAACTGATCATGAAGGCCATCAACGCCCTCACAATAAAAATGTTGTTCAGCTGGCTTTCAAATCCACTAAACTGCACATTTCTAATATAGAAGATATAGCTGTGCTCATGCTGCCTGTGTTTGTCTACTCATCATCATCATCATCATTCTCTATATCCATCATGGGGGACGTTGAGCCGCCCAGACCAAGCGATCAGATGCAGACTGCCACAGCTGTTGTGCACGTGTCTTGTGGTCAACTTCTAGCTGTCGCCACCAGGTGTTGCGGGGTCGCCCCCTGGGTCTGTTCCAGGCAATGTCAGGGAGGGGTCCCCCTAGTACGTCGACGCTAAGCTTAAGGGCGGCATGGGCTGGTGTGTCATCCGATAACCGTCGGACATGACTGAAGAGGGAATGGTGTCTCCGTAAGATGGTAGCACAGATATCCTCAAGACCGGTGGTCCCCTTGATAGTGGTGTTGGTGACAAAGTTGGACCACCGGACACCAAGGATGCACCGTTGGCACCTCGTATTGAAGGCTTGAAGCCTTCACCCATCCTCGGTTAGGAGCCTCCACGTCTCCGACCCATATAGTTGTACAGGGAGGACACAAGTCGTGTTTATCCTCAGCTTGGTTGAAAGGTTAAGGCGTTTGTTCCGCCACACCCAGTCCAGTTGGCCAAAGGTTGATGAAGCGAGGCGTATACGTCAGAGGATGTCTGGCGATGAGTAGCCAGAGGAGCTGATATCGCAGCAGAGATACCTGAACCTCTCTGTGATTTCGACAGTGGCATGACAGTGGCTGTTGCGAATGGTGGGCCAAGGCCGGTGCAATTCTGGAGCTTTGTTTTGGCCCATGACACATGGCATCCCCATCGTCCTGGTTTCTTCCTCAAACCTCTGGAGTGAAATAGGCCACTGGTCAGGCTTTCCTAAGAATAGGGCAGCGTCGTCGGCATAGTCCAGGTCTGTGAAGGACTTGTCTCCCACTGTTATACCAAGATCTGACTGACAGCAATTTAAAATCCAGTCGATGGCACAGCAGAATAGGGGCGAGGATGCAGCCCTGACGGACACCTGATGTGGTGGGAAAGGGGGTTGAGATGTCGTCTCCGACATGCATGGTGGCGGTACCACCCTTGTGCAGGGCGTGAACCAGGTGAAGCAGTAATGGTGGGACTCCGGTAGCCTTTAGGGCATGCCAAAGAGCTTTCTGTTCTACCAAGTCGAAGGCTGCCTTGATGTCTTCATAGGCAACTTGGAGAGGTCTCTTGAACTCACGTTGTAGTTCCGACAGAAGTCACAGGGCGAGCACTGCATCCATTGTTGACCGGCGCCTCGTAAAGCCGGACTGCTGGGGGTGACAGTGACAGGTGAGTAGTGGTTCTAGGCAAGACAGCAGGACACGGCTGAAAACCTTTCCGGGAACTGACGGCAGAGTGATGGGCCTGTAGCTGCTGCACTGACTTCGATGACCCTTTCTTTGTACAGGGAGATGATGATGCCGTCCCTCCATTCGGCAGGGACCCTACCTGAGGACCATACTTTGAGGACCATACTTTGAGGAAGAGATCATGGAGGGCCACGCTGATTGGGGCCTCTGCACACTTGAGCAGTTCAGGGAAAATACCGTCGGGTCCTATCCTGCAGCACGTCCGTTCTTGAGTTTTCTAATAGCACGGCGTACCTCAGCCACGTTGGGAGCATCCGAGGAAACATCCCTAGCAGGGGTTGCGGCTGTTACCTGAGCGATGAGGTGCTCTCGCCAGCAGGCCAACGTCTCCTCATCCGTCGTGCATGGGGTCTCATCAGTCTTAGTTATTGGCAAGGTGCTACGTCCCTGTTATGGGGAGCCACGCATATGCTTGACGGCCTGAAAGGATGGGTGCAGGTTGTTTCTACGTAACCCTTCAGCGTCGTCGGCAAGTTTGCCATAGAACTCCTCAAGGTCGCCCTTGGCTTTAGCTTTGAAGACGCCTTTTAGTCTGCGTGCCTCGCATGTGTCACCACGTAGACGTGCATTGCGCTTCTGGTCGAGGATTTTAAAAACTGCAGAAAACACCAAATTAATCACCAGCAATTAGTACAGGGTGAGCCTGTCCTCCTACAGCTTCATATACATGTAATTCCAATTATATGTCAGAGTACCTTAACATAATTTTGAAATCTTAGATTACCTACAGAGCCAATAAGGACAATTTATATTCCAGGTGATACCATGCCTCACCAGTCACTACAAACATCCAGTACTCTCTGCCTTTCTGAAGACAAGCTGAGCATAAAGAAATCTAAAAGCACCAACAACATAGCCAGCTATGGATCTACACTGAGTCTGATCCAGGCCTCCAACGCAGCAGTCAAGGCCAAGACACCACCCCCACAGAGCAGCATGCACCATACTGAGTAGGTTATTTATATATCACTTATCTGAAGCTACTTACATTGTAGTCTGGGGAGTTTTCCTCTATATTTTTTATTTTTTAAGGGTGGGGGGAGTAGGGCAAAACCGTTGATCCTGAGATGCTCGATGAAATTACCTCCCTGCCCTTTGCCTTACAAACAACCAAAATCTGCATCCATTGTCCTGAGAACAGAACATTTCATTAACAAATATCCAATAGGTTTTCTTTGTTTAAACGATACAAGACCAGAAGCGGGCTAATGCTGGCTTGATTGCAACAAAACTGTTCTGTGTAGACAGTACAGAGTCGGAATTGGTTCAGTGATGGCCTTAGTACGGCAAACGGTAACGGTAACACCATTCAGAGCCTGCATCGGGCAAGTGATGGACTTTTAATGGAAAACCATAAAAGCAAGACGGCGCACAGCCTAAATTGGGCCATTGCAGGTCCTCTTACAACAAACCATGACAAAAAGACGGTATAGGGCCCGAATTGGGCCAGTGTTGGTCTCTTTACGGAAAACCATAACAGCAAGACGGTACACCACCTGAATCGGGCCAATGCCGGTAAAGCGTGAATATCCGACTCCATGAATTAGGTTGGTTTCCTTTCAACCAGATGTTTGAAATTGGATAAGTAAACAATCTGTAGCGGGCATGATATAGTCAAATGCATACGACACAATTAATTTTTACCGGTTATACGGTTGTATATTTTGCTTGAAACCAGTGAGTTTTATTTCATTTCCGGCTAAAATGGGATAAGATTTCAAACGTTGTATGTCTAATATAAATATCCTCAATAAAGAATATCTATACTACAAAAAGAAAAGGAAACCAAGGGTTCTAATAATTACAAAACAATTAATACAATTAATACAATGAATATAAAAGGGGAGACTAAAGGGCCTATCTTGATCCGTTGTTGTAGACTTGCTTGACGGAGCTTGCTTGACTTGACGGAACTTGACGGGACTTGCTTGACTTGATGAAGGGAAAGTCGGAGACTTTCACTCTCAATGCATTAAACTGTGAGAAGAAGAAGACTGGACGAAAGGGGTCATATAAAGGATACCTCTATACCCCATCTACACTGGCTACCATGCAGTTGATGAAGTCACGTACAAATGTAGCTACGCCAAGGCTTTCAACTGTCCAGTGTATACTCAATAGGCTCCTCTGTGCTGTGCCTAGAGCAGGACAGAGGATGAATATATGAATATGGCAGGTTCAGTTGGAGGTTACAGGGACAATTAAACAGTGGAGCTGGGTGCTTCCAACTACTTGTCTCTGTTAATTGCAGTTTGGTGGTCAAGACAATATAAATATTAACTTCATAAAATACTAAGCAAATGGAATCTACAAATAAGCAAAAGTGAAAGTCCCTTTAAACAATAGGCTGTGTGTAACGTTGTCATGGTCACCAGTGCTGGTCAATGCCCTCTACCACTAGTGTGCATACATAGGTTTGTCTTAACCCAGAAGTGAGTAAGGTACCCTTAGACAAGGACATTATACCAAGACCAATACCTCAGGGCATGACAAGGTTACACTTGTTGCATAATAAGGGAATAACAGTGTGAGGATCCGGTCTTCACTGCGTGATAAATGACCGGGTTTGGGGGTGACCGCTGTTAATGGACAGCGGTCACCCCCACACCCGGTCATTATCACGCAGTGAAGACCGGATCCTCACACTGTTTTTCCCATTGATAAATACCTTTTTAATGAAATAAACAGTAACAAATTAAAACAATGTTTTCATATTTTTACCTGATGGAGGAAGCTGAAATTTCGTTTACGCATTCCTTGTGTCCAGAATTACAACGATGCTTGGTTTAGGAAAGGTAAATATGTCGATGGATCTACGTTTGCGTCGTAAACATCCTCAGTATACTGCTGTACGATGTCGTTTTAAAACTTCCTTACGCGCGTGCACCCATAGCAACTGTGTTGCGTACGCGCGCGTCAGTCTCATGCGAAGGTGGTTGAGCGTATGTGCAGTGCTGTATTGTTACAAGCTGCCGTATGACTGTTGTAAATTTGGCCAATCATTGCCTTCCATGGGGCTGGATCAATACTGGTTCAGGGGCCATTTTTTCGCTTGTTCTTTGAAGCCGGTCTGTATATCACCGTTAATACACCCCCACGTGATCGAGTCTCGACAAATCAGAAACCATCAACTCTCCAAGGTATTTATTAACAACACTGAAAACAATTCAGGGAATACGAATGACTCATAAAGTAAAAGTTGATCAGGATGGAAAATACCAAGATCCTGAATAATCAAATTAATCTATATAATTGATATATCAAAATCAATACACTTATCAAACGATCAAAGGGAACTGTTACAAATTCACAGAATTTGTACTAAGGAAATTATTCCTCTTTTCACTCTAGTCAAAACTAACCGGAAATGATTATAAGATGCTGATTGTCTTTTGGAATATGCCAAAAAGATCACTGAATAATACATGGGTGTTCATTAAATGTCATGGGTGTTCATTAAATCATGAGTTTTTGTACATGTAGTCCTACAAACTCTTCTTTCTTAAGTAAAGTTCCACTTTATTAAGACTACAGTCGCCACAGGTCTTTTGTGCAAAAATGGCAAACTTTCAGATCAGTCAAACAAAACTCAAAGAAAACTAAAAACGATTTAGGGAATTAATCAATTTGGAATTTGTTCTACTTTCAGAGAAAATGGCTACTTCTCAAATTAAGATATGTGAAAATTAATGCATCAAACATCCAAAAGAAGCTTCAAGAAATGACAACGACGAAGCTTCAAGAAATGACAACGACGAAGCAATAAAAATGTCAACAGCAGTAAGAACTTCTCAAGTGGATATTGGCCAAAGTTGGAATGACTATGAACTTAATATTCATCTATTAAGGTTTGTTAACCTAAACTCAAAATACAGTGATGGAATGAAAGGAACACAATAGTAATAATAACAACATATGATGACTCGGTCTAAACTTTGAGTAAAGAATTAACACTTTAACCTAGGAGTAATTATCAAACTCACCTAGAGCAGGACAGAGGATGAATATATGAATATGGCAGGTTCAGTTGGAGGGATACAGAGACAGTTTAATCAGTGGAGCTGGGTGCTGCCAACTACCTGTCTGTGTTAATTTCAGTTCGGTGGTCAAGTGAAGGGAAAGTTCACTGGCCACCAAATTTATACAGTTCCTCCTCGAGGACTTTTGTGGTTGGTTGTAAGTTCTGCTACCAACCACCCACACGCGCTGCCAAGCAACCCAGACATTTCTAAGAAAGTGAATGACCTAACTCTGGGGGACTTAGGAATTAAAAAAAAAAGGGGGGGGGAATAAATTCATCCTATTACAAATCCAAAGCATGAAATGTTCGGGGATTTTAGGACCTAGTGCTCCTTTAAAGATGCATAAAATGCCACAATAGTGTATCTGGACAAACTAACCATTTGACACTATCCCGCATGGTACAGTTGCATTCCTTGATCCTGAAAATGTATGTTTATTCACCAAAATGTTGATCCTGTTATATCGGGGAAACGTCAGCATTAACAAAACAATGTCCTCTACAGAAGATTGCACCTGAATCAGTTGCCAGCTTTATGAAATGTTAATGTGCATTTAAAATAGGGAATGTAATGCATAAGAATTGGCGGCTGTTTGATGTGGGATATGCCGTTTTTAACCCCCTCGTGCCTCTTGTGGGTGAACATCGGACCGGAACAATTAGTTTTGTTATTGAGTTATTACATTACCCACTCTCAAGACATCCTCGACATCATCATACATTGCATGTTCAGGTATTCCCATGGTGGAACGGATCTTCTGAGACTTAATCCAGTAGATCTCAAGCCCACTTGGCAAAAAATTTAAAAGAAATCACGTCAATCTAAACACCGCTATTCTTCATCCGAGTCCCACGATAATCTGTCCGATAATAAGTCACTGCGGCGCACTGAGAAGTGATTCCACAAGCTGAATTTCTTCAAGCATTCCACCCAATTTCGGTGTCATCGGCCTTTCGCGAGAGCTGGGGACAGATGCCCCTGGCATATTCAACTCCCCCCTCCCCCATTTTTGCCCCCGATTTCTGCCCACAAAGTAGCCCCAGTTTCCAAATCAGTCTATTCACGGTGATGGCATGCAAGAGGACCCCCCCCCCCCCAGTGTTTTGTCGTACATCATCAAGCGTTCTAGCTAAGGTGGAGCAGAAGAACTGCAACCTTTTCCTCATAGCCCAATTTTGGCCACATCGTTCATAATTCACAAGTCTTGTCAAACTTCTGATACATCAGCTGGTAGTATTTGTATTGCTTTCTTAAAAAGCACCCGGATGACTGCAATATTATTAATATTACGGTCATCCGGGCATTTTCGCTGGTTCCCGCACAATATAGAGCATAGAAAGTCACTGTCAACCAGTCAACAGAGCGTAGCGTTACGTGCACTGTTGTCAAGGAGCCACAATGGCAATCACGACAATTCAACGAAATATGAAAAATAAAGTCAGTGTCCTGAAATTTATTCTTGCGGATCAAGCTACAAAATGGTTGGGACACTTCCTGAGCCTGCCACGGTCGACCGCTCCCCCGGTTAATGTTGTCCTCTCCAGCTGATGGATACGGAAGACGGAAAGTGCCACTCAATAAGTCTGAATATATTTTTGTGTACGTGTGAAAATATTTTTGTGTACAGCGGCCGCCACTTATCAACTGAGTTTATGTGATGCTACTTGGCTGACTTTGTGGTTGTCCGGGGTTCAAACCCCAATTTGGAGGTGGACCGTGAATTAGGGTCCGCACAAAATGGGGTTTTTTTTTTGCATTTTCTTGGCATTTGGACCTTGTAGATCAATAATTCCGACCTTGGCACCCTTGAGCATTTTTTTTTCCAAACAATAAAATATGCAAATTAGCTTCCGCCATAAGGAAAAATATAAGTTTTGTTTACATCTCTACAGGGTTTCATCCAAACTTATCATTGGAGGTGCCCAGCAATGTTTGGGGATAAACATAGCGTTTTATTCAATGACCAATTTATTTATTTTATGCAAAATATGCAAATTGGCATCCATCATTATCCAAAATTAAATTTCGATCCATATTTCCTCACGAATGTGTCTAATGATATCAAACAAGGTGTCTTAATCATGTTTGGGGGGTTCAATGAATGGATTTAAGCCATTTCTGCAATTACGTCACACACTAAACGCGTGAATAACTGGTGGTCATTGGTGGAAAGTTCTTCCGCGTAAATGTAAAATAGCACGCAATAGTTTGGCGTCGCGTCATTCTCGATTCCACCTCTGACCGGAGAAAAGGCATTTTTGTTTGCCCACCACCACCCCATCAGCCACCTTTGCCTTTTTACCCTTTTCTTTGATCTATTTGGTTCAGAAGCTCCGCTTTCTTGTGCTTTATAAATAAGTGGCGGCCGCTGTACCAAAAATTATTTTCACACGTTCAAAAAAATATATTCAGACTTATTGAATGGCAATTTTCGTCTTCCGTAGATGGAGCTCACATCGCACAATGAGAGACAACATTGAGCAGGGGCCGGGGGGTTGGGGGCCCAGCGAGATTTGGCCAGGATTGTCTGAATTTCCTCATAGTTCCAAATGTGCATGATAAGCCATTTGGGGGGCTGTTTTCTTGAGTTTTGTTTCCAAAATATGGAATGGCGGCCGAAGGTTGTATGAAAGAACACATATTTAGGCAAGATAATAATTATTGATAGTAAAATCGAAATAACAAATACATCTATATTTGTCGTTTTTCCCTAACACGTAGGGGTTGGTAAGCAGGGTATACTTTTTACTTTCAGAATGCTGCAGGGAAGCAATCGACATGTTTTGATTGATAACCATGCATCACGGTCATGGTCCATACCGTATTGCGCTATTCCAAGATGAGAGCGCTAGTCCGTACAGATACGCACGTGTTAAACCGTTGAATAGAGTTTAGTGCTTCAAGTTTGCTTCAAGATAAATTAGTTATAGCTTGCGCTCATGGAATACGGAAAATGTTGTGCATTTGTGTCCCACATACATGTACCACTCGGTTAGACACAATACACACTACTAAGTGTTCCACTCGCTCTCGCGGAATAACTATAATAATAATGGCTTCGACTCGTGCAATTACACCGTAAAAAAAAATGGGCATTTCTTGAACAACTGCTTGCCCTAAATTGGTGTAAATATCAGCTTCCCAACTTTTTGGTCACTTATTGACCAACTGTCATGGGCAGGCCATTTTGACCAGAAGATGGGTTCAACATAAATTACCAGCTAATGATCAGACAGCCTTTCCCAATTAATTGGTCAAATAAAAAAACGGTCAACTATGATTTCAAAAAAAATTGGTCATACTTATTTTCACATTGTGCAACAAGACATATTTTTCATACATCACTGTAAAAACGTTGGGCAATATGAGTTGATATGTATCTAGACCAGTGTTGGTCAACATATCAACAGGGTCTGGTTAAACTCTTGGGCAAATTTTTCCTAATAGTTGGAAAATTGTCACCCAAATCAACCCACATTGAGGTATTTTCAAACCAATGTTGGGTAAAATTACAGTGCCCAGCAGTGTTTTACCCAACATTATTTTACAGTGATATAGTTGTCGAGAAACGCATTTAAATTCGCATTCATAAATATCTAAGTGTACTACCAGTGAATCAGTATTTCATTGTCCGAAATTCACACTACAACAGCCCAGCTGCGTTTTGCGCGACATAGCGCAGTAGGCGCGACGCACACGCCAATGTCCTTATAAGGTAACGAGTTGAGGAGGGGCATTCCATATTATAGTCAGAGGGGTGTTTCGTAAAATGAAGTAAAATTGTTTTTTACTTGTTTTGATTTGTGAACCGAAAAGATTTGGGGTTTTTTGACCGAAAATGTATTTTTGAATGGGAATAAATATGTGTTCGGTCGGTATTAAACACTGTTTAAGACCGGTGGGAGTCTGGATGGGCGAGGGTAATTATCACCCAATGTTACCCGATTTAGAGGACAACAATTAATACCCAACTCAGCTTGGGCAAAGGACGTTCATATGTTCTAAAATGGTTGTCTTAATGCCTTTCACCAAATGAGAGCACCCGGAGTAGGGTAAATATTATGAAAAAAGACCAACATCTTCACTATAAAGGACCATCATCTGAGCAATTCAGCTTTAACCAACGTTTTAATACCCAACGTTTTTACAGTGTATTGTTATAGCTCGTGCAATTATACTGTTGCATCCCCTTCAATAATTATTTTAGCTGGACAACAACCATCAGTGTTAGAAACATATAGCAGTAACTTAATTTGTTTTTGTTCTCATATCACAGCCCTCCGAAATTCACAGAAGCACTTTCAACTCATAAGAAGCCTGACGGCAGCAGTACATCTGGTATTCATTCCACCAACAGGCCTCAGAGGCTCCATGTATCCCATTCAGAAAACGCCCTAGCCAGCTTGGTAGTTGGCACAGAGAATGACAAGAGGCACAATGAGTCAGCTAGAGGGCACGAGAGCAGAAAATCCAAGAAAGGTATCTGACATTGCACTTGTAGTACATGTAATATTTGTACATTAAGGTCGGCAAACTGATTCAGTTTGGCAAAGTGTTTTCTACTTCACCTTCCTTGCATTTAACCAGCTTGCATTTATGATTCTTTTCTTGAGTTATGTTTGGTTCTGAGAAGAATCAATGAACTCAAAAGTTTTAAATGTTACATTTATTTTTATTGTAAATAAAAACACAACTCAAAAGAAAGAAACTCGGTAGAATAATAGTATCATGAACATAGGATCGACAAGAGATTGTTTGTTCCGTTATTTGGCCACCGAAATTCCGCCTGTTCCCCATCACAACAGCTGTGATTTGCTTTGGCGTTCATTAACCGTTATAAAGGAAAACAAATGCTGCATACGTGCAAAGCCAATGTAAAGGAAATGGCGGTGTCTGTATCGGGTGGTATCAGCATTGTCATGTACAAGTAATCATAACGAAATGCACTTCATTATTCTCCCTCCCCCCCCCATAAAAAAAAAAGAAGAAAAAAAGGGAAACCCAAATTACACTTTTTGTGTTCACACACATAAAAAGTTTTGCGATTTAACTCGCAACAACAAAAATTCACGTTCGTATTTTTTGGGTCACAGTAGGCCTACATTTTGCACCATTTTGACAACCGTGAGACCGTAGAGCACAACTGCATATGCATTATTTAATACCCTTAGCCATTCGCTAATATTTATTCATTTATTTTTGGCTCCATATTCCCTTGGTCTCCCAGCTTTCCTTAGTGTGTCCTGGAAGATCGGTTCAGAACTGTTGCTTGGCGAACATGGCCGTTTGTAACAGCTCTCCGTACAATTATTTCTCTGGAATTGAATTGTCCATTGGAGCATCTCATTTGGGCATGGTTTTATACCCCAACTCATTGGGCAGGTTTTTAATATATGCAGCCTTCCTGTCGATGATAGCCATGGCTTACTATGCAGAGCCAATTCAGCGAAACCTTGACCCATCCTCGTCACAATCTTTGGTGCTGTGTATGTTCCCACCCCATGGCTCCCCTACTCATGGACATCTGTTGAAGTCCACTATCATGAACACAACCTGCTTACCGTATGGGCTGCAGTCCAAAGCAAAAACAAGCATGCAGCCCCCAACTTACATGTACTACCCAGACCCAGTCGAGGTGTCCCCCTAGTATCAAACTATAACAGTAAATGGCCCGTCCGTCTGGCCGTCAATTGTTGAAGTAACTTTGCCACATTTTTCATAATCAACGTTACATGTTTTGTGTGTTAGTGATTAGTTTTGGAGTGTTTTCATGGGGATGATGTAATATTCAAAGTCCGAAAGGAACAAATTTGCACCAATAAATCATACTTGCACGTGCCAACCGTAACTTCCAGAGGACATTGGAATCGGAGCATATAAAATACCTTTTTAAGGATCTGCATTATATAAGCAAACTCTTGCATTGTGCTTCTGCACACTCCTGAGACCTTTTACACAAAAAATGTGACACGTAGACATCAGATAGATAATGTAGGAAGTGGGTAAGCATAAACAACTGAGAAGAAAAGCTGAAGAAATTGAAAAACAAAAAGATGACTCTCAAAATAATTATTTCAAATGCTTATCAGAAATGGACAGCTGAGGCAACCCAAATAGGATCTTGGTTGCACACGAAAAGCGGTAACAAATGGCCAAGAACATTTGCATCAGAAACTGATTTCAAAGCAAGTTTGACTTGAATGATGAAGCTAAAATGAAGAATTTCCACCACGGGTGATGAGCACTAGCCCTTTACCAAGATAGAAGATTCAATCACTAATTTTTTTTGCAAATGTGCTGGCAAAGATAATCTCGGTGCCAAATTGCTGAAGTATGGACCCGCGATAATTGCTAAAAAAATTGCCCGAGCTCTGAATGAAACTTTTAGCACTGGCATCTTCCCGGACGACGTCAAAGAAGGTATTCTTGTTCCTCTTCCCAAGGCCAAGCCAACCAAAGGGACCCCAAGTAAACAGAAGACCAATCATTGATCTGACAAATATCCGGAAAATAATGGTCATTTGTTTGTTTGACCAGGGTTTGACGAAGAGACTCGTCGACAAATTAGACGACTGCAGCCTATCGCAGCCTATCGACACGACAGAGGCACCATCGAGCATTTTTTATTGCCTTTCCCACCAAACAAAATTCAAAACATTCCGTACCTTCATGGCGTCCGTATTGCTTTATACAACAGTGAATTATTACCAGTAACAGATGCCCTTTTCCATCCTTGGTATTAAATGGCCGAAAAATATCACAAATAAACTCTACAGGAAAATTAACGCGATCCCTATAGCGATCCCAATAAGCTATATTCCGAGGAAAAAAAGAATTCTAGGATCTCGATTTCAAAATAAAAGTTGCTGAATCATGTTTTTGATTCGGCCTGAATTCAGCGTCCGAGACACGTTCTCTCTGAGCCAATTGCAGCTACGCGATGCCGCGCACCGATCTGACGAATCATAGCAACCGCGCGCGCGAATGAAGAAAACAGGGGGTTTTAGTCCCATTACTATCTTTCAACCAAGTATGTTTTTCAGCTTGTATGTATATTTATATCACGACAAAAACTGCAAAGTATAATATTTTGGCTGAAGTATAATATTTTTACGAAAGTAGTAGTTTTAGTAGTTTTGCGTAAAGTTTTATGAATATTCACATTTGAGTTGCCATGCAAATAAAAACAATACAATGGCACACTACGAAAATGCGAATGCAAGCCAATGGGTATTAATGCCCATTATCAACGCGTTTAACCAATTGAGGGCAAGACCGCTCAGTGCATTTTTTTTACAACAGCTCAGAACAGACGTTTTATCCTTGTGTAAGATCCGTGCTTACACGGACGTCGCGCGCCAGGAAGTGTGACACTTCAAAGAGGTGAATTCAGAATTGAGAGAGGTGACCCTGGACTTCCGTTGTGATGTTGCCGGTATGTCGCGCGCTTCAAATTCAATACAGAGTCTTTGTCCAGAGAGCCAATCACTGGAAATTATATTCCCTATATACGTGAACTTTCAATTGTTGTTCGGTTGGGTGCCTTCGATTGGTGATGTCCGTGTTTGGTGCAGACGGGTGATGTCCGTGTTTGGTGCAGACATATGCACGACCTCTGTCTTGCCTCTGTCTAGCTTTGACGCCTCTGAGATCTCGCAGGACTCTTTGCCTCTGCAGTTCCTGCGTCAGTGTGCGAACCATTCGCGTGTTTAGCTTTGTGATTATGATATTCTCTATTTGACAAATGGGTCCTCCTTTACACAGTTCGATGATTTGGGCATACAGTGCTCCCTCGCACAACGCTAGGAATTTTGGCAATTTGAATGAATATGAGTTGGCATCATTTGGTGGGTAAGGTCATTGATTAGGTCCTCTCTTGCCTTTGATAACCCGAGAAGTCAACTACAAGCCGAGAAGTTATGCTAATGACCAATACCCGGGTGTTCACATCAACCACTATAGCCCCTGAATTTCTGTGTAAGTCTACCGAAAGCAGAGTTCGGAGTCATCAAGTAAGTTAGTGATATCAGAACCGACTTTCGGAGGCGGGAACTCACCCCTGTCCCTCATTTATGCATATATTATTCAGCAAGTCTCAATTCAAGCAACTCACTTGACTGGGAGAGGCAACTTCTAGTTTCCAGGCACAAGGACAACCAAATCAAAATGGACTCTCTTTCCTCTCAAAATTACGTGCAATGCGTCTTGCCATTGCGAACATATCCGATCATCGACCTTGAACTCACCCGACTAGGCATCAGTGTTGCCGCTCTCAGTGACACGTGGTTCACCGTTAGTAGCTCGATTCGGGAGGCTAATTTCACCTTCTTTTGGAGCGGCTCCCCTGACACTGTAAGACCTATGCATGAAGTTGGCCTTGCAGAAAAACTCCTTGCTCCCAGCTATCCAGCAGCATCTTCCATTTCTCCTCACCTCATGTCCCGAGTGCGTTCGATTACTTCCCTCGTGCTTACTCGTGCAAGCGCGACAACGTTCAATTTACCCCTCACGTGACTTCATGCGCTAACTCGAGCCTGGCCCAGGTAACCGACTCGCCGAGCCGGTTACTTGAGTAAATATCCCATAAAGCCATGCAATAACCATGGCTACAAAAAGTGACGTCCGGCGGTCGCCTCAGGCCGTGTCCAAAACGGGCTTACAGAGCTACGGCTACGGGTCTATTGTCAGCGCGTCCGCGAATTGTCAATTAAGCGTGGACCTAAAACCTAGCTCTAGGGCGTTTTGAATTGTTTAATTTTATTTATTGCTACGCAGTTCCACTTCATTTTGTACGATACATTATTTCACTGCGAACTTTCTCCATCATGGCTAATTTGGTAGCCAAATTACAGCTACGACGCCGACTCCTTTCCCGCATTGGTATTCTGTGCCTAAACCGATCGTCGATACTTCTCTCCTCGCCCTTGCAACTGCTACGTTCACCAAAACCAGATTCTGCAGCCACTTGAACTTCCTCGGTACCTGCTTACGTTCTGGACTTATACCGAAGGGTTTTGGACTAAAGTACTGCCCTATCGTATCAGGGGTATTATCCACGAACTCAATGCTGAACTACATAATACCATGAAGCAGTCCAAACAGTCCAAGCTGAGTTCACTTCAAGATTCTTCTCCATTCGCTAACCCATCCCCGCCTACCCTTGACTCGATTCATCGGGAATAGCCTATGAAATTGGTCGTCACTATACCCCCAGATTAATTTTCTACTAAGAGAGATGCCGAAGAATTTTTCAAGAATATTTTCATCAAGATTGACTCGCGGACACATAATCCATCCCCCTCACCATCCATGTCTCAGTCTGATGATTCATCTCCTCAAGCAGACCAAGCTGATCCTGTTGATCCCGATCCTGTTGATCCCTTTGACAAACTCTGCCCCAAGAGATCTAAGTGGTGTCCTAACCCTGGCCGCAACAGAACAAAAGACTTCGTGATTGACAGTTGTAGGTACGAGGTCAATCGACTTGACTTCACAAGATCTACCGTTACCAACATCACTTCTGACGAACGCAAAGATTTGCAGTCCCTGGGTAAAACCTATTGTCTTAAAGAGAACAGACAAGGAGCTACGGTTGTTTGGCGACGTGATCTATACATCCAGGAGGAAGAAGTTTCCCGTACCGTCAAAAAGTTCATTCAACTTGGCGCACTACCTACCAATGCTGCTGACCTCATAGTTTCTGCACCACGTACTGCCCGTTTCTACCTCCTCCCGAAGCTGATAACACAGGACGGTCGATGGTCTCAGCCTGCGGTTGCCCCACTGAGCTTGTTTCCTGCTACCTTGACTCAGTTTTGACTGCTATTGCCACAGGCGCTACCATCAAAATGTTAAAGAAACCTCCGATGCTCTCCGGGCTGTTTGAAGATTTGTGCCCTCTGCCAACAAGCACCTTTTCACTATGGATGTGTAGTCTCCTCCACGCGGACGGTTTGGTTAGCCTTGAAATAATTTCTCGAGCGACGGCGGAACCCCACGCCATCATCTTCGACACTCGTCCGTCGAAAGAAAACACTTACTCCATCGGCTAAGGATACAGACAAGCGCATCCCTTTAGTCCTCACCTACCACCCGTTTAACCTGCGAGTTCGTGTTGTCATCCTGAAAAAGTTCCGCACGTTACAAGTTGATCCTTTGACCAAGCCACATCTTCAAAAACGACTCAACTCCCCTCGTTGCTGTGACCGGTCCATTTGACAGACTTTAATCCGATTAATGCTCCCAACAGTCTCCGATGTTAACGGCATCAACACCGGCACCACAGCTTGCAACCGCCCACGCTGTAATACGTGCAGGTCCATCCACAATCCACCCCAGATCGACGGTCCCAAAGGCAGTTATACACCCAGGGGACATTTCACTTGCGTATCCACCAACCCGGTGTATTGGACAACGCAGAGTTGGCAGGAGCCAACTATGCAGTGTCCACTACATTGGCGAAACGAAGCGTCGTTTGGCTGACCGATATACTTGAGCACCTTCGAAGTGTCCGACTCAATCTCCCCGGACACCCTGTGGCGCGCCACTTCTCCAAGCCACCACACACGTGTTATCGAACGCCCAGCGCTTGGAGATGGAACAACGCATCTTCTACAAGCTTGGAACGCTCACGCCAGGCGGTTTGATTGTGGATTTTTCTACATTCAAACAGACATAGCTCCGATGAAGGCCAAGCGGGGCCGAAAATTCAGCCCGGTAGTACTGCTTTTACTTTTGTTTTCATCACTTAAACCTAGCTCTAGACAGTAGATTCGCATGCAGGTTTGTCATGTCAAAGTTCGACTTTCCTGCTGTTCTTGCACGAAACTGTACCCGAAACTGTTCGTTTATTGAGCTCCACTGCACTGCGCATTTTTGTCATCACGCAAGGAGCCAGGCGGGAGTAAGCTGGAGGAAGTAATCGAACGTACTCCTTATGAATCTGAGACAGAGAAACATTCAAAGAGTGTTTAAAAAATGCTTTGAAAATGTACTTGACTTTCCACAAACACAACCAAACAAGTGGCGTCGGGATACTACAATTCTTTCCGGTTAATAACCTCGTAAGCTAATGCTCCTATTTTATTTGCACAATATAGGAATGGGGGACAAACCCACGAAGAATGCCCGTCTCTGAATATTACTTTTGACGGAATGAGCTGAACGCTAAAATTACAAAAATTCTTGTGGAAATTCAAAACGCCAACAAGTTTCCAGGAGCTGGTGATTTTTCTACAACTTTTCTTCGATGTCTTGAACAGGGCCTACAAATTTCTTCAATATTCTGAGTTCTTGTGGAACAAAAATACACTGGACTCGTGAAGAATTGTCCTGAAATCCCGGAAAATTACCACAAATCTGTCCCATGTATTTTCAGACTAGAAGATAAATAAATATTGTTATTAACTTTTACTCATCATGTCCTAGTTTGTTATTATTATATATTATATGATTACTTGTTTGATAACATTCTGTATTATAATACGCTGTAAGACTTCCAAGCAATCATATTTTCAATCTGACAAGTGGTGTAAAATTGCCAATACACAATGTAATTTTTATTGGTGTTTATTTACCCCTCCAGCTTCCCCCTCTATTGAGTCTGGGGCCAATTTCACAGAGCTGCTTAAGTGCAAAATTTGCTTAAGCACAACAAAATTTGCTTAATATAGGTTTTCCCGGCTATTTTAACACTTGTATCACACGAATTCCCTATATCGATACTTTAATTTCGTCCCCGAACATCGCCAAGCTCAATTCTCAATTTGAATTTCAAAAAGCCACCACTAGATTTCATTTAACCCTAAAGGGGCCGGGTTATTTTGACCATCTCTCGGCCATCGAGTGACGAAAAATTTTGAAACTCGGCACATGCATAGAGCAACTCTTCCTAAACATACCCAAGAAATTTCATTACTATAGGTCAAAGGGTTTTGGAATTATGGCTAATTAATTATTCATATGTACGAATGGCAATTCTGCTCTGTGTACACGACGAATATGCAAAAATTCAGTTTTCACGGCGCGTAGCGCCGGAAAATTTTTCGCTACGTAGCAACCCGTGGTCCGATTTTTATGTTTTTGGTATCAAAAGATGCGCAAAGCTCGAGGCTAAAAAGTCATAACAGCTCGGTTCGCGAAAAAAATTTTTTAGAGGCTATCCCGGAAAATGTTGAAGGGGGGGGGCGGATTCCGCCCCCCCGGCCCCTTTAGGGTTAAGGTTCAGTATAATTCAAATTGTTAGCACTCTGATTCGTCCAAAATCTTTAAAATTCGTTTCGTCAAGCAATCGGCGTTGAATTGAAAAAGCAAATTCGTTTTTTGTCATTCGTTTTAATGTTCTTGTCGTCACATTTCGTCTCTGGTGACTTAAAACGTTACCATTAAAAATGTGCCCAATCTTTGGACTTGTTTGCGCATTAAATAAATTTTAATTTTTAACAAATATTTCCGTATAAATGAAAGTATAAGAAATAAAAATAAAATAAATAAAATTAGAAATTGAACTTTCCCAATAATTATGCTCTTTGAAAATTGAGCATTAAGATCAAACACCTTCGTAATGTTGCTCTTTGATATATGTATATGAATAAAACAACAGAAATAAGGTATAGCTATCAAAGAACAACATTACATGTAAGAAGGTCTTTGAACTTACAGGTAATGCTTAGTGTCCATGTCATAAGTGCATATTGTGAAATGTCAATTCCTGACTCTGTAATTGTGAAACACAGAAATGAAAATTCATACCTTAACAGCTAACTACTTTTATTTATACATATAAGGAAATATATGTCGCATTTTCTAATCGTATACGGGACGAAATGTAATGACAACAACATGAAAACGAATGACAAAAAACGAATTTGCTTTGTCAATTCAACGCCGATGGCTTCACGAGACGAATTTGAAAGATTTTGGACGAATCGGAATGCTAACAATTTGAATTATACTGAACCTTAAATGAAATCTAGTGGTAGCTTTCTGAAATTTAAATTGAGAAGTGAGCTTTGCGATGATCGGGGACGAAATTAAAGTATCGATATAGGGAATTCGAGTGATACAATTGTTTAAATAGCCGGGAAAACCTATATAATCACTTTACCAACCAAAACTCCATGCGATTGTCTTGCTATTTTCGTTTGTATTGAATGTCAAACAATCTTTATCAACATTTTGTTACTATTGCAGACTCCAAAAAAAGTAGCTCATCACAGCAGGATGGTGACACAGACAGCCTCGAGATGGAGGAAGAGAGAAAGAAGAAGAAGCGGTTGAGGATACCAGGCATGTCCGCTAGTAGCAAAATCGAAAGGCTCAAAACATGTTAATGAACCAAAAACGGGCTCCCAGCCTGATGGTAGCTTAAATGTTGAACCTCTGAAATTTAGAGAATCAAATCAGTAGGAATAATACAGTGCCTTTTGTGTTAAATTTACTCTTTGGTTGAAAAACAAAAGTTCATGTTAAAGCGCGTAATCAATCTTTCAAAACATTGTCTCCACATTTACAACAAAATTTGAAAAAAATAGTATGTGGAAACGAAATTAGTTAACATTCCCAAATAATGTTATTAATCAAACACTTCATTGTAAATATTTGTTGTGTGCTGTAAGGAAAGTCCCAGTATGAATACGGGGTAAATGTCAATAATGGTTTTATTGGCTGCTAGGAAAAAAACATTTATTTTTCGGGTAAATTTATGACTTTTTGGCATTTTTTCGGCATTTCCCAAATTTTCTACGGCAGAACAATGTATCTTACCAGAAGTATTGTTTTGTTCAACAGCAAAACAATGTATCTACGTGTTGCTCCCTTTTTGCTTGAAGTTGATTTTCCCAAAATGCAGTTTTTTATTTGGCAAAAAAAGGTTAATTTGTATTTGCATTGCTCTTGCTAATTTCAATGACTTCTCTAAATTATAACATCAATCGGAGCAAAAGAATGTAACTGAATATGCGTTGTGAGTTTCATTTTCTATGAAAATTGAATGCATCTTATAGATGCTTTGTTTTTCCTTAGACGATGTATGCATTCAAACCAAGCCAACTCAAATTGCCTTGTTTTGCCACGAAAACCCTTCTTTCTATTTCAACATTCAATCTTGTTTGCATTGTTGTACTGAAAAAAAAAATGCTGACGTGAGAATGAAATTCATGTCAAAAATTCGTGACGGTCGGGACAAAATCCTTTTCCCATGTAATATTTTGACAACATAGGGCGCTATAAAATTTCGACTGCCCTTCAAATAAAGATCCATTGTTTTGCCGTGGAATGTATCACAGAGTTGACAGTTTTGCTGCCTCTCAACCAAAGATACATTGTTTTGCCGTAAAATTTCTGAAAAAGTGCTCTTGTCAAAACAAGATGCATTGTTTTGCCTTGGAATGTGTAAACCACATACGACAAATAATGCACGGCATAAGAGTGCAACTTAATAAAAATGGTAATAAGTATAAGAAACCGAGCTTTTAACAGTCCAAAAATTTCAGAATATATAGAAAATATAACTGGCACATCTGTGAACAAAGAAACACTGTTGTGTTTCTTTGTTCACAGATGTGCCAGTTATATTTTCTTTATATTCTGAAATTTTAAATCATAAAAATGGCAAAAGATGGAACTTCAAAGTCTTTTTTCTCAAAATGATCATGTTCGAGTTGCATTGTTTTGCCTTGGAAGGGCCGTCGTCGCCTTATGGATGTTGCACATTAAATTATATTCATTCATATTGTTACATCCAGGAGTGAAACACTGGCAACCAATGCAAGCAAGCATTGCCAATACCCCGTTTTCATTCAAGACAACACAAACAGACTAATTAAGTTGCCTAAATGTTAGTAATTTTTGTACTATGCACAATGTTCAACTTTGCGAGAGTGAATGTTGAGTGCCTCAGATCCATCTCATTCGACAGGTAGTCCGATTCAAAGGTATTGCAGTAGTTTTTTCTTCAGCTGTAGTGATATGAATTATTTTATTAAGAAAATACTTGGAAACACCAAAAAGCGTTTACTAAAAAATCATTTTATTTCTCTATTTGAATCCATTTTAGAAATGTTTAGGATGAAAACTTCCCAGTACCTTTTAACCTGAGAACAACTTCAGCGGTAATAAGTGACAAGGTTGTTAAAGTTATTGATTTTTTGGTTGCTTGTGTGCGATGGGTTCATTCATGGATTTGGGGTTACCCAAAATTCACGAATTTTTCTTTGCTGGTTTAATAATGGCTCGGTTTTATTCAGAAGAATGAAAACTAATCGTCAGATTAGTCATAGTGCCGGTTATTGTTGGTTTCTCATGTTTGTAAATGGCTAATTTGAAAGTTATTTTGTGTCATTATTATTAAAGAAACAAACTACAAGTCTTGAAACCTTTTATTGTTTTGGAGTGTGTTCATATTTTGGGGTGTTGTCTTTTTGCCTTTCATTGTCATCATTGTAGCATCTGTTATTAAAAAAAAAAATTCTCAATTTTGGTTTCCCTTTTTTTTCTCACTGCTTTTTCCTTAACCCAGTGAGAACAAAATATCGGAAAAACAGAATTGAGAAATATATATTTTTTTAAAATTACAAATTTTGTGCGACACTTGGTGGATTTTTATCCTTATTCTGTTTCTCAGCTTTTAATTAAAAAAAAAAAAAAAAAAATTGTTTTCCCAAAAGAGCCAGAAAACGCTCATCCGAAGTTCGTCTTGCAGTCGGCTTTACTTTAGAATAGCCACTTACCGAGCTTTTTGCGATACGAGTGTAGGTCCTCTCGCTTGCCACTGTTGAACAGTGAGGGAGATGACGATTTTGCACTCTAGCAGGATGTGATCATTGTCTATGGCCTCACAAGGGCAGGTTTCATAGTCACAAGCAAGCGCCTGGAGTTGAATCACTGCCAGTCATGGTTCACCATGACTGGCAGTCAATTTGCCTTCATCCTTCTGTCTCTCTGTCATCCAAGAAGTATATAAGTGGGATCCCCTGCTTGAAATTGCTGGCATGGATTCGTTTGTAAAGAAGAAAAAAAACTTTTGTTTGCTACCTTGTTCGCACACCGTACTTTAGAATGAACTTTCACTGCAGTGCGGAATTTCAATTCGAATACAGGGATCTGCATAAAATCTCTTCCGCAAGAAGGGTGAACACATCATTGAAGCCTGCATGCTTAAAATGATATGCAGCACCGGTCCTCAAAAAGGGTGCGATTTCCAACTGGATTCGCTCCTGCTCTGCGAGATTGAGCGTGCAGTTTTTATAGCCCCCACGGTCCACGAACATGGGTAACGAGATGTAGTAGTTAAAGGAAAGATGAGAAACCGAGCCGTTTGCCTACTTTGAAAGTGATCACAGGGGATACGCTTCTCACCAGCAGGGTACAAAATGGTTCCTATTTTTGCAATTGCAAGAGGCCTTTTTGCCTTAAGTGATTAACCAATATGTCAGATAAAAATGTAGTCCTTGCTGCTTTTGCATTCAATCGAGTGCCTAGCCATATTTGCATTTATGTCAAAACTGAACTAAAACCTGCGTGATTAAGGCAAGAAATCGTCCGAGACTCACAAAAAAATTGCCCCAGTGTGGTCAATTATGATGAGGTTTTTGCATCGCAAGGCCGTAGGCAAAGGAGCTTTCTCATTTGATTTGTTTTCGATTCGCAATGCGAGAAATCTCTGGTCACGGTGATTTATAAGATGGCGGCTCCATTGAAAAGTCTTAGCGACTTTTGTAAGGGACTGTCAAATTGGTTCGGATGTCGTCGGATTATTCTTGTTTTAACGGCCGCATGATTTTCAAAATGGAGAAAACTGGCTTTGGAAGAAATTGCAAAAACAATAGCATGAACAGAGTGTTAAGTAGTTTTCACCTCGCAATTCCAAAAGCTTCTCAAACAGGCTGGAAAACCGTAAAATCGACCGCACATGGTGATATTTTGTGAGCTACGTGCTGAGTCGAATGACTTTTTGCTCAGAACGTGGCTCTTGTGGCGGGATTTTTGAAATGCGAGTGAAATCCTTCCATAAATGTCATGATGCCACGTCAAATAAAAAATGATTTCACGTTCAAATGAAAAATGATTTAATTAATGACGGTCTACCGGAGAGAACACGGAACAAGGGGCAGAATCGAAGTTGTGCGCTCAGGAAACCAAAAGTTTACCCAAAAATAGACGTAACAATTAAGTTTTCTAGAATTCGTTGATTTTTTTTCCTTCGTTCAAATTCGTCAAAATGAAACTGGTTCAGGACGACAGTTCTCCAACTGTCGTCCTGAACCAGTTTCATTTTGACGAATTTGAAAGAAGGAAAAAACAAAAGGCAAGGCAAGGTTGTCTACTCCCTCTCACGCTCTTCAACATCTTTTTGGAGAGAATCATGACGGACGCACTGGAAAACCATGAAGGTACTGTCAGCATCGGAGGCAGGACGGTCACCGACTTGCGTTTTTCTGACGATATCGATGGCCTAGATAGTGGATGGCCTTGACAAAACATCCTTATCCTATGGCATGTAAATCAGTGCAGAGAACTAAATGACGAACAGTATCGACGGCATCACCACTGACATCACGGTCAACGGCAGGAAGCTTGACACTGTCCAAAGCTTCTAGTATCTGGGAGCTGTTGTGAGTGATCAAGGGTCTAAACCAGAAATATGCTGATGACATGCACTCGTTGGTTATCCCCGTCTCTTTACCTACGCATGTGAGAATTGGATTCTAAGAGCCGACTTCTAGAAGAGAATACAGGCCACAGAAATGAGATACTTCAAAAAGATTTTTGGCATCTCCTACAAAGATCGCATCACCAGCGAGGAGGTACGGACCAGAATCAGGCAAGTTATCCTACGTATCCTACGAAATCTCCTGACCACTGGGAAAAAGCGCAAACTGAAGTGTTATGGGCACATTTCGCGATCATCAGGACAAGTCCTAAGACGATCCCGCCAAGGACTGTACAAGGAGGAAGAAAAAGAGGCAGGCTGAGAAAGAGGTGGGAGGACAACATCTCGGAATGGACAGCACAGACGCTGAGTGACGCCCTGAGAAAGACTGAGGATCGGGAGGGATGGAGGAAGCTGGTTGACAAGTCTTCAAGGGGTGCCCCCACGGGAAAGGTAACAGGTAACAAAATAAGAAAAAGAAACTTTTTCAGTCTTGCAATTCGAATTGTTTCTATGTGTTCAACTTTTTGGCCTCTGAAGTCCGCACCGTCAGGCCGCCATTAACTTAGTTAATAATTATCTTCCCAAAGTCCCAAATATAAACGAAAATTATATTTTTGTCGAATGACTTTTTGCTCAGTCTGTAGCTCTCGTGGCAAACAATCGCAACATTTCGTAGTGCCTCCTTTGTCTCTTCAGACA